CCGTCCCGCCCCCTGCTCCTCGTCCCCCGCCCCCCACTCGTGCTCTTTCTCTCCGACATGAATAAATTAAAAAATAAATCTTAAAAAAAAAAAGAAAAGAAAACACTTCACAGAGGGCCACTATCCATGAGGATAGTTTTGGGATCTCAGTCTTGAAGACCAGCCCCTCGCTCCCCCAGGGTCTGCTCCTCCCGCTTTTGAGTCTCCGGTGGACTTTGCTCTGGTTCTGCCATGTCCCAGGGGAGGCCCAGTAGGTGGGAGGGCCTGGACCCCAGGGCCCTGCGCCCATCCCCTGCCCCTGGTCCCCCGCCCCCGGGGCGCGGGTTCTGCGAGGAGCTCGGCATCCGCACAGGCTCTGCCCGCAGAGGGGAGAACGCGGCATCCATTTCTAATTTGTCCTCCTTGGACCTGGCATCTTGCTGTGCCTTCAAGGTTATTCTAAAATTGCCACGATTGGGCCGAGTCTGTACGACCACTCAGACCTGTGGGGACAGTTTGCTTCCTTTCACGCTAATCAAGAAATTTTGTTTCTCCTGAAAGCGGAATACAAGGACAAAAATCGGGTTCGCGGGGAACTCGTCACAGTTCCCAGGAAAGAGAAAGGAAGGTGTTACTACTCACAGATGCGTGTCTCAACTTCCCCTCCGTCCTTGGCTGACCCCCGCGGCTCGGTGTGAGCGGCGGGGAGGAGCCGAACCTCCAACTGTCCTGGGAAGCCTGCCGGAATTGCTCCTGCGTTGTGGGTGACCCTGCGGCCGGGATTCCTTCTTCCTGCCGCTGGCACGACCCGGGAAGCCCCACCGCACCCTGAGATACGTTCCCCAAATAATGCCAGGTTTGCTGGCAAGAGCCAGAAGCTGGGAGAGGTGAGGAAGGACCCAGCCCTGCCGACCCCTGGATCTCAAGACCTCCAGCCTCCAGAGCTGGGAGACGAGAAGTTTCTACTGTTCAAGGCACGGAGCGTGTGGCACTTTGTTTCGGTGGCCCTGAGATGCAAACACTCCATGTTTTATGCGCCTCTGTTCCCTGTAAATGCTACCGTTTGCTGGGAGGACCTGGCCTCAGTGTCTCTCTCAAAGTAACACTTCGAAGGCGCCGTTCTACACTACATAGTGCCACGGGGACTGCCAAATGCTAGCGGGCGCCCTATCCTTCCAGCGCACCACTGAGGGGGCCCGGTGCCACTGAAGCCACGAGCAAGAAGGCACCCGAAGCCCCGAGACCAGGCTTGGGGGCTTGAAGTCTGACATCAGTTCCAACGTGTGGGTTTTCTACCGATTAACTCAATTCTTTCACAATCTACCCAAAAATAGCATCCGATGCCACAGGCTAAGGGCTGGATCCTGGCAGATTGCTCCTGTGCACACCGCACCCCCACCCGGCCGCCTGCAGACGCCAGCCACAGGTGTCACCTGGTTCGGACCCACTGGCTACAGATCGGAGGTTCCAACCACCGCCACCTGGGGTTCGAATAATTTGCTAGAGTGGCTCACGGAACTCAGAGAACTTACTAGATTACCGGTTTATTATAAAAGAATGTGACTCAGGAACACCCAGATGGAAGAGATGCTCAGGGCGAGGTCTGGGGGGTGGGGGGACGG